CACTAACACTCCTCGGAGGGAAGTGCCGCCCCTTGGAGCAGCTAGGAGCATTCTTTCTAACAAAAGCTATGGTTCTGGCCATAAAGTGCCTCTTCTAGTTCACAAGGTAAAACATAATATTAAGATTTTTTTTCATCCTCCGTATCAGTGAGCGTCCTTTGGCCACAGTAACCAAGCGCACGTGAATACATGGAAAATGTTGAGCTGCTTCAACAGTTACGACGTAAATATCTGTGGAGGAGCTCTGCTTTCAGCGCAAAGCTCTCAAGCTTGTTGATGGTGCTGTTGCTGAAGACAGTACTTGCAGTAACATCACTTCAATCTTGAGCTAAAGCTCTCGATCTCAATGATGTCACTGGTGTAACCAAATTGTAACCAGAATTTTGTACCTTGTTTTGTTGGTGTTGTTATCACGGAAATTTGTACTGTGGGCTCTCGAGCTAAAGCTCTCAAGCACACAGTACAAATTTCCATGATAATAACACAGACGCGACAAGGTACAAAATTCTGGTTACAATTTGGTTACACGCGCTGCACAAGCTCCTCCACAAAATCGTCACTGTTCATTGCACTGGTGTCAAGCAGACACATCATTCCTCCATACTAAATGAGGCAATGGCAAGAAGAGGCATTAGCACTCGTCAAGGAGACTGCCATTGCACTGCATTCCTACGTACTCGAGGCACTGATGGTAAGACAACAAAACATAGATACTCCTCAAACAGACCAGTGCYGGATTCCAACCAACCATTTCAATAAAGTCAATCAGTATTAAGCAATCACGACCTGATCTATTTGCCAAGTGTGTAGTGCCTAGCCACTATGCGTACTGACCAGCCAGAACATCGTTCACCACAAAAGAAGGGGATGCCATCATAATCACAGCAACGAAAGTGTTTAGTTGATCCACTGGATGACTTTCGTAACTAGAGGATGTCCTTACTCAAGGCACTGTTGGCAACAACAAGCGGACGTGTCAATACTCAATGGACCTGCATTGCAGTCAAAAAGTAACAACCAACCATTCAATCAATCAACATCCTTTCCTTCAYCAGACGTTCCGTTTATGTTCTGAAGTATATTGTAAATGAAACCTACTACCTGCTTGAAAATATCAGCCTCTTGACTAGATTTCAAATTTTATGTCTGAGTGTACGAGTACCCGTTTCCATGTGAGCCCCTCTTGTTCCATTTGCTACTACACTTTTCTGTCCTCACCCTCCGCACCAATCCTACAGCACTGAATTGTGAGGGACTTTCATACTACTTCATTCCATTTTTTGTATGAGTTACTTTGCTACGGCAGGTGCTTCTTGCACGAGGTTGATTCCATTCCATAGAAAATGAAACCTACTGCTACTGCTACTGCTACTGCTACTGCTACTGCTACTGCTACTGCTACTGCTACTACTACTGCTACTGCTACTGCTACTGCTACTGCTACTACTACTACTGCTACTACTATTGCTACTACTATTGTTACTACTACTGCTGCTACTACTACTAGTAAAAGTATTACCAACGCGACCTTAATTCCATAGTTAAAGAAACCTATTCGTACAGGTGGTCGGAAAAAATGCCCGTCAAACCAAACATGAGCAACCCAGAAAATCAATTACGTGAAGCTGAAAGCTAGTATTGAGTGTTTGATCATTGCATCTTGGTTCGCCGAGGTACAAAGCAGAGGGTTTTATTCCAGGGGCATGTATGAATGTAGGAATGAGTATCATGGGTACTCATCTTAGTTTTCAAACGAAGAAAGACGCCCATGCCTGTGCACGAAGAAACTCTTGTTTTTCTTTTTTCAAAAGCCTTGAAAGACCCGGTCGTATTCGGGCATGTAATAGCCATCACCCATAGAATCGTCGCTGCCAATGTGGTATTTCGGCACAGGGTTCCCGTCGAATCGTTCGTACACTCGGGGAACCGGTATGACCTTGCGGCTAGTTTCGTCCTTCCGTCGCTTCGACGACGAAATCGCTGATACAGCGATGTCCGTTCGATCCAGTTCGACCGCCCAACTTGGTAGTGTCGAGGACAAGTCCGAGGGCGTCTGCGGTGCCGCAGCCACATCTGCGCAGGACACAGTTTTCTTTGGCCAGGGTCTCGCAGAGCCCGGCTTTGAACCCTTTCTCACCTTTATGTGCTTCCAGAAGGCCATCATCAACGTGACACGTCGGGGACGGTGCTCCCGCGGTGGATAGCTTCGAGAGCCRCTACCGTCCCTGTCATCTTCGCCGTGGTTGTCATCCGTTGCAGTCATTGGTGGCGGAATCGTGCCCTTTCCGGGGATCACCCCATGCAGCACAGATCCATCGAAACAGACGAGCCTTGCTGGTTTCGAAGGGACAAGCCAGCCCTTCACCGAGCTCAGGTTCGTCGTCGTAGGGTTTCTCAGCCGCTGGRTCGTTACCAGCGTTGGTCCGCCCACCCTCGAGTGAGAAGAAAGATTCAGCACGGTGCTCGCAATTGGGTGTTTCGGAAACTCCTGCTGCCGGCTGCGTCCCTCGTCATCGGAATCGAAGTGGAGCTGGTGACCGGATGCGTGGGGGCGATTGTGGGCCCAAAGTTCGACGTACCTGGCGTCCCGGCGGAGGTGCTGGAATTTTTCAGACACCGGTCCACAGGTCAATATCTTGTCGATGACCGACCTCAAAAATCCTTTCTTCGCCCCGCTTGTCTGCGTTCCTGGTTGCCTCAGATCGATCACGTACGAAAAGTATGGCGCCGGGGGTTCTTCGTCGATTATGTAATTATGGGAAGACCAATACGATGAAGACACGTCTCCAAATACCTTGCGCAAATGATTGAGTTCTGACTGTGACAAAAAGTCGTCCACCACACAACAGGGCGGTTCTGGCATCGACTTCACGTTGCTGCTGTCCCTACCATTCTTTTTGCCTGTGGTGTTTCTCTCCGTGTTCTTGATTTCGGGTAGTTTCAGTGGGTAGTTCAGTATGCGCTCGGACAGGCGACATTCGAAACCAAGATACTTCAATCCCATCGTCGCTTTATACGGTCGCCCAGATTGTATGTACAAGAGGGAGAGCCGCTCCCCCGCCTTTCGATATTCTTCTGGAGACAGCGCGGCGACCATTTTCTTTCCGTCGGACGATCGCTTCCGCTTCTTGCCCCCCGTTGCAGCCTCTGCCGCATGCTTCCCAGCGACTTTCCGCTTGGAATTCAGGGCCCTCCGGTAGAGATCTTCTACGCGGTCCAAATCTTCCAGCGACGTTGCACTCTGCAGCCATAGCTTCCGGGCTTGTCTACTCAAGGCCAGAGCGTTGATGCTCGAGTCATTCTTGTCTTCCTGTCGATCTCTCATTGCTATGTGTAGATGGAGTGCTCTCTGTTGTACGTTTTTTTTTATCTCGAGTATGGCTGAGGAATTTCCTGGAATGATGGAATGTTATTCTTGATTGGTTTTCGATTGACTCGTCGAAACTCAAAAAAAMCCGCATAGAATGAAGATTCTTTTGGTGGACGTGACGAGTTCGAAGAAAAAAGGAACCTCGAAGGTTTTTACGAGGCAAGGCACATCGTGCCGTACATTCTACTGAATTTCTAATTTCTTCATCTACTCGTACCGTACGTATGTACTTACCTTACTGTACCAAACACGAGTACTCATTTTCAACCTCCCACATTCAACTAGTACTATGATTGATCAAACTAGTCAGCTCTTCTTGTTKCTTTTTTTCTMATCTATTTTTTTGGCACATCAAGTGCTGAGTGGTGACTTTTTTGCAAAGGCCGGTTGAAAGCACACAAAATCAACACATGGCCTCAAAAAAATCTTTCATTGTTGTTCTTCTTCTTGTTCCTCGCTCCTACTATTACTACTAGTACTAGTATGTTCATCGTCACAGATCTCATCATGGTGTTATGGMATTTTCTTTTTTTGTTTTGTCATACACTGCCAAAGTTTTTCCACCACAAAAAAATGCTCCCTCTAACAACTCATGCCTGTCCCAACCAAATACACCTACTTCATGCCTGCACCAAACATGTGCACGGCCTACTTCATTTGTTGTTGCTACTACTAGGACTTTGGTACACCAGATACATTCAGGGTATCTGGTGCTGGCATGGAAAAATCCACTTAGATATGGCCCAAAGCATGACTAGCAAGCTTAAAGGTCTTCCCAGTCATCCACAAAACAGCTTCTTTTTGGTCTGACCTCCCCAAGAAGTTTGGAAAAAGTGTAAAAGAGAAGAGCACCAGTACAAGGCTGAATTGGCACTACTACTAGTAGTAGAAGTACCATTGCTTCAAGTTAACAGAATGGCCAACATTGGAGCTGACAAAGAGCAAGCATTAGATGAAATCTAGGAGAAGGAGCCAAAGAAGAATGCTTCTGKTCTTGAAAAAGGCAGGAACGCATTTTTCTTGACAATCATGGCAGGAATCTTTGGTCATTGCCATGCAGGTTTACAACTCAATCCACAGGAATTTGAAGCTGATGAAGAGCAAGCCTTCTATTTTGAACATCAGATTGTCAGTAAGTGGCATTTCACCTGAACAGCAGCTGAGGGCATAAAAAGATGAATAGGGTGCAAAAAGATGAATGATTTGGTTTATTAAAAGAGAAGGCATCTCTATCTTCAGAGTCATGGTGGAAATCTTCTTTCATGGGCATGATCTCAAACACCGGCGCACAAATAAATCCGTTGAAGAAGTGAGACATCTGCAGTCAAGTGAAGATCTGTATTGATTGAAGCAGCATCAACTCTTCAATATTCAGTGTGCGCTATACAACCAGGGTTATGAAAGGAATGAATTATCAAGAGCATACGGGACAACCCAACAGGAAATAAAACCAAAATTACAGCAAGACTTGCATATCTTTTTGGATTTAAACAAGATCAAAGACCACAACTACCACAGGTGGCAACGATCTTCGATGAGAAGGCACACTCAAGAAACAACTTGAAACGATTCAAAATGCACTAGAGATCGTAACCAAAGGGAAGCATCCACTTACGGATTACAAATTTTTAACATATTGGTTTCTATATTTTTCAAATTGTGTAGTTCGTGTCATTCTTTTTATCTTCTTTCGTTTCCTCTTCGTGAGGTTCGTGTAGATCTCGACGGCGGCGGGCTTCTGCTGCGTGTAGGACCAGACCGTCGTGACGGATAATTGTTGCTGTTGTAGTCGTCCGTGCGAGCTCTCTTCGGGTTGGGACCCGACCGATCTGTGTCGCGGTCGTTTTCAGGGGAAGTAGAAGACCGGCCCCGCTTGCTATTGTTCCTTTGGGGAGGTGCGTCGCGATCGCGTCTCCACCTCGCTTCGTTGTTATCTCGTCCCCGAGGACCCTCCCCGGCCTCCCTAGTGCCACCGCGTCTTATGTCTTCATCTCCTCCACTGCTTCTTCTTCCTCCTCCTCTACCCCGATCGTCTCTCTTGTTGCTGTCGTCTTCTCTCTCTCTCTTTTTCCAGTCTTCGTCTCTACCTCCGGAACGACGATCATCCCCTCGCCGATCATCACTGCGACGATCTCTGCCGTTTTCTGTTCTCGAATAGTCGTCTCTTCCTCCTCCACCACTTGTTTGTCTCGAACTATATTGGTCCCTGGTACTGCCCCGCGGTCGATCTCGATCTCGATCGCGACGATCATCGGTTCCGATTTGTTCGGTGATTTTCTGATTGTCTCGTTCCAATTCCTGGAAAGACTGCTCGATCTTCTTTTTTCTCTCCTTTGCGGCTTCCTTTTCCTTCTCTGCCCGGGCCTTGACGTCGGCCTCGTTTTCCTCAACCCACTTCCCATCGTCTCGTGCCTTCAACAGCATCATCCCGTAAGCGTTCGCTGATGCTCGAATGTCTGGACGCGAACTGCTCTCGTCTTGAAGAGGTTCGAGAACTTTTAGAAGCTTGTTGCCGAGTGTTGGGCCCGTTGGAAAGACTTTCACGAGCCTGGACAGAACAACGAGTCCRGTGCGCATGTGGATATATTCTGTAGATTCGAGGCACCCAATCAGGGCATCGGCGAGAGAATACTGCCATTTGTTGTACAGCTTGATAAACTCCTTATGGGAAACTGGATTGGTGCTTGTTTCGCTTTCTACGGTGCTTTCCATGTAGGATCCCGGCTTTCCAAGGACTTCGCTGTCGTACATACCGTCCTCAAACCTCCATTGATTCGCAACTTTGAGGGTCTGCCAAATCAGTATGGATACGTTCGCAGCTTCGGCCTCGGTCAAACCAAACAAAGCGCCAGAAACGATCGAAACGAGTTCGTCGATATAGTGCATCACGCTAAAACCGGGAGTCCAGATCTTGTGGAGTCGAAATGCAATTGCAGAAGCGAACATAGCGTCGTCTGGACTGAGCAATGCCCTTGGGTAAATGCAATACATCAGGAACACTTTAGCGGCCTCTCGAGAGATTATTTCTGAAGTGAAGAAATTGTTCTTTTCGTCGCTCAACTTCTTCAATGTGGATCCAACGTGCTTTTTCTGTTTTTTCATATCAGCATCCAATTGTTTGGATACAGCTTTTAGACGGTCGATCTTCCCTGTCTCGCTCTTCGGAACGGGAGCTTTGAGCCCTTGGATGCGCTCTAGTTCCTCGTTGATGCGGTTGACCTCCGAAGTGTACACACCTTCGGGGCACTCTATATCACCAAGTACGTTCAGATAAAAGAACTCAAACATATCCGGAGTCAGAACCGACCATACCGATTCTGGTAGGGTGCCCTTGTAAGATTTTCGGATTTTTTCCGAAAGTTCGAAGCGTTTCAGACTCGACGATTCGTCCAACTCCTCCGGACGCACCTCCAAGAATGCYTTCACCGATGGGCGACACAAAAGCCACGCCGTTGCCATATCCAGGCCGTAGTTGTGCAAAAGATCTTGAAACGACGGCAAGAACTTGGAGTACACCAATATTCTCTCGTCGCCTTTGTTTCCGTTTGTTTCCGTACCGACATCACGGTCGGTCAAAAAATCCAACAAAATAGACATCACCACCTGGCACGTATCGTGCAGGTTTCCAATAAGTTTCACGTCTCGGAAGGCCCCCTTTCCGGAATCAAAGACGATGCGATCACGCGCCTGTGCGATGAGGACGAGCAGGGACACACCCAGACCGTCAGCTTGCAGGACGCTGCGAATGTGGCTGGCGGCTACCGGGTTGGTGTTTTCTACGATGCCAAAGGACATGGTTTCCCGTTTGAGCGTCACCGATCCGGATCTTCCGTCCAGCTGGGTTTCGTTCAGAGAGGCAGCGGGGGAATAATCAGCAAAGCCGTAGCCCCCAACAACCTTCAGCAGCGTACGCAACATCCCCAGTTTGAGGACGTCCCCTTCCCTTAGTCGTTCTATCGTGTACGACAGGATTCCACGAAATTCTACAAACGGTCTCGCCTTGTAGAATTCCCCAGCAAACGCCTCCAAGGATTGCAACCACTGGGATACGTTCACACCATCCTCTGTTTGATTCGTTTGGTGTTTTTGTTTGCGCGTGCGTGTGTACACAAGTGTGCAGGTTGACAAAGCAAACCGGAAAGGAAGCATTTGAAAACGAAATGCGTGCAAAGAATGGTTAGAAAAAGAAAACAACATCCATCAATCGCAACTTCAACAATCATGCGTCTATCGCGAACCGATCCGTGAAATAATGACAAGGACAGAAACCGCAGCAGCAGCAGCAGCAACAACAACAACAACAACAACAACAGCGCCGACTGTGTTCGATAAACAATGGTGAACAATCTCTACTTTGCAGCTACAATTCGATTGTTGCGGTTCAAGGAAAAACGAACCAATCCAACCATGTTCCGGTGGTCGTCTTTCCCGGCCACCGTGCAACGATTGCAATGGCATTCGTATTCGTATTTGCAACAACAATGCAACACAGCAGCAACACAACAACAATGCAACAGCAACACAACAACAATGCAACAGCAACAACAATGCAACAGCAACACAACAGCAAAACACACACACACGGCGGGCGCCGGCTTTTGTGTCTCTTGTTCCTACCTTTCAGCGGATTCCGGTTGACCATCCCGCCCGAGGTCCCGCTGAGGCGTCCCAGGACGCAGTACCCGAGGACGTCGAGGCCCAGCGGGTTGACAAAGCGCTGGGCCTCCACCACGACCTCCACCATGTTGTCGTAGCTCTCGATCTGTCCGAGGATCGCCGCAAAGACCACCAGCGGGCTCGAGTGGGTCACCTTGGCGAGGTTCCGGCTCATGTCCCGGAGGTTGTCCCTCGAGAGGCGCTTGAGGGCGTACCGGGCGGCCCTGCCGGCCACCATCTCGGCCTCCGACACCGGGAGGGCCTTGTTGCCTCCCCGGAGTCCCGCCCGCTCCAGGCCGGGGGCCTTCCAGCGCTCGTAGAGCCGGTAGCGAAGGTCGTAGGGGAGGAGCTCCAGGAGAGACCACAGCTCGGTGGAGAGCGAAGGATTGGAGGGAAAGAGGGAGAGGGAGGGGACCAAAAAGTCCGCGAGGAAGGAAAARAGCTCCCCCGGCACCGAGGACCGGACTTCTTCCGGGCCCGCYKCTCCGTKSCTGGCCCCCTGCCCGGCCAGGAGGGAGCGCAGGAGCCGGCAGAGCAAGCAGAAGAGGACCGGCCTGGAACGGATGCACCCGGACGGGGTGACGCAGGACAAGGGATCCGAAACGGATCGGAGAAAGCGGAGGAGGAGACGGTCGGGGTCTTTGGAGTCGTCCCTTTCGGCGTCCGTGTCTTGGATCGCCGGTGGCGTCTTTTGTGMYTGGGTTCTTCCGCTTTCGCTGCTGYCACCGTTGCTGGTGGAAGTGCTGCTCGAAAGCTCCGGAGCGAGGCAGGCCCCCCCGACCCTGGAGGCCCAGGCGAGGGTCGTCTGCTCCACGTTCTCGAGCAGGGCCGCTCCAAAGGTCTCCGGGAGGACGCAGCAGACCTTGGTCCAGGTGGAAGGGGGCAGGAGGGGCCGGACCAGGTCCCACTCCCCCCACCGCAGCAGGACCAGCCACAGGGACAGGACCTGCTTGTGGCCCCTTCTCCCGAGGGGTTCCATCGCCGCTTCGAGCTTGCTTGCCAGCTCCTTCTGCCTGGGGTTTTCCTTCTTGCCCGAGAGGCTGACCCTCGCCAGCGCCAGGACGCGGTCGTGTTCCATGGATCGAAATGCCCCGTAGGCTGCCTCCAGGTCCGAAASCAGGGATTCCCGGTCGAAAAAGTCCCCCACGAAGGCCCCGAGGTCCAGCAGGCCTTGCTTGACCAGGAGGGCGATGGTTTCCAGCAAACACCCGTGGCCCTTGGGCTGCGCATTGGCGTGCGCACCGGGTTTCGTTGGCGTCTGCGTCTGCGTCCGTGCCTGTGCCTGCCGTGGCTCGTCTCCTTCTCCGTCGCGGCTGTTGGCGAGCTTGAACCGCAGCAGGGCCGGGAGCTGGTCCGTGGGACACTCCTTGACGACGTCCAGGAGCCACCGGATCTCGTTCGTCGTGGGAGGGGGGCCCCTCCGGGCGCTGGCGCTGCTGCAAGTCGCCAACCGGATCCTGGATTCCAGCACGTCGAGGGCCAGGTCCAGGACCCGGATCGGATCGAGCTCGAAGGTTCCCACCAGCTTCCACAGAGCCCGTAGGTCGTCTCCCGAAGCATCTTTTTTTCCGGAAGCGCTTGCACCCACCCTTGTCGCTCGGGGAGATCCGCAGAGGTGCCCGAGGAGCTTGGAGTAGCCCTCGGACTCCTCCTGCAGGAGGTTGTACTTTTGCTGCCGGTAGTTGGCGGCCGTGTTGTGCTGGCGCAGCCGCTTGGAGAGGTCGTCGGCACTCCCGGTGGAACCGCCGGGCCCGGCCAGCCGGATCGCCCCCACCGCCTCCAGGAGGACCGGGAACCAGTTTTCCTGGAGCCTGCGGGCCAGCCGGGAGCTCCCGTTGGTCTCGGAATCGTTCTCGTTTTCGTTCTCGTTCTCGTTTTCGCCGTCCGGCCCGGAAAACATGCCCGAGGACAGCAGGCTCCGCACAATGTCCAGGAGGGCCCGGACGGAGGGGTGGAAGGCACCGGAGCTCGGATCGGAGCCGGGGGAACCGGCCTTGGAAGCGGAACCGGCCCGGGGGGAAGGATTCGTGTCCTTGTTGGGCGTCGAAGGAGCGTTTCTTTTGCCATTGCTGTTGCCATTKCTTTTGCTTTCCCCGCTTGTCCACTCCAGGGAGGTGAGCGTCGATCCGGACAGCCACAGGCAGTCGACCAGGGCGTCTTCGACCACCCGGAGCGACGAGGAAGACGACGAGGCAACGGGGCCGATCGCCGCCTCGAGCCAACGGACGGTTTCCTCGGTCCGGGCTTGCAGCGGGGGGAGGGAGTGGTCCTTCCCGCCGTTGCTGTTGCTGTTGCTGTTGCTGCCATTGCTGTTGTTGCCATGGCTCTTCCCGGCGACCGTTCCGTATTCGAGCACCGAGAGGAGGAGCTCCGAGCAGCCCCGCTCGCTCCCGGCCCCCGCCGCCTCGCCCAGGGCGGAGGGATCGGGGAGTTCCGCCGGGGAGGAAGGAAGCGAAAGCGGAACCGGAACGGCCATGGCGGTGGTTTCTTCTCTCTCGTTTGTTTGTTTGTTTGTTTGTTTGTTCGTGCCGTGTCCGCGGCTCGCTGGCTGGCTGTTCGGTGTGTGGTGGGTTGCCTTGTTGTGTGTAGTGAATCGAGTTGTCGTGCGTTGCCCTTGTTGGCCTTTGCTTCGGTGCTTTGCAAGTGCTAACAATCACCCCATCGAACGATCGATCGATCGATCGATCGATCGATCTATTCGTCCATTCCGATTTGACAACGGGGTTTAATTCAAGGCCCTGTAGGAAACCGGTACAAGTACTGGTGCTCGTAGTAGTAGTAGTCGTACGGTACCATACGCATGCCCCACCGTCTTGGATGGAAGCGAATGAAGGACCTCGGAGGAGATACACGATGCACAGAACCCAGGTAAGAATTAATCAATCGACCCATTCGAGTCAGAGTTCCATCTTTCATCTTTTGTCCTTCACTCATCTTCACTCATCCCTCCCGTGCTCGGGACTCGCGACTCGCCCTACRTACGGTACTACGGACCGTACGTTCCTATCCAACTAGGTATGTTCATACCCCCATGGGTACGTTCCTGCCCAACTCGGTGTCTCTGGGTACGTACGGTACGTGCTTGGTGCGAGTACTCGTATGTTGCAGTAGTTTGCTTTCTAACCACAATAGTCGTACTTTACCATACTCACTGTACAGTACGTACCGGTACGGCATTCGTAAATGAACGTTCGTCGCGCCGCCGAATGCCGCAACCACGTGGAATTGTATTCGGTCACGCTGCTACAGCTACTGATAACTACCGTACCGTACTTAGGGTGAGGGTAGGTACCGTACTGCACTGGATGCTTCGTTAGTTATTAGTAGTAGTATGTATTTTCTACTCCTACTGGTTTTTACGCAGGAGGCACACAAACTTTTTTCCGTAGGCCCGAGTCTCCCGCTAACCCCCCCCCATCCCGAAATGGGAAAACGAAGAACAAGGAACCAAAATCCGAAAAAGATTGAACCGAAACGAGACGACGACACGGCAGCACGAGAGATRAAATATAGGGAGTACGATATATGGTACAACCATCCGTATCATTGCGTCAATCCTACTCTCACCGAAGGGGTTTGATCGACGAGCGTCAATCAAACAMTACCACCAAAGAATCCACTGCCGAGTCGAGAGTTGAATCACACTGCATTGAAGTGAATCGGTGGAGTGAAATCGAATCGACTGAACTATTTCATTGCATACCATTGCGTTGCAACACCCAAAACACCCCCGGAAACGGCATACGAGACAACTTCCTGTTCACATCCATACTTTKCCAACACGCTAAGATTAGAGGCCATTGCCGCAACTCGCTAGACTTTCAAACACAAACGAACTGAACTGAACTGAACTGAACTACATCGCCACAAACCAGAACAGAATGGCGCCGACCACCACCAACACCGCAACGATACGGAACCAGTCCGGGCGCAGAAACCAAACACGCCGTCCTTCTGCTGCCGGCACCGTGGGGCTTTCCCTGTGCCTCACCGCCGCCCTGCTCCTCTTGGACGTCGCGGGGGTAGCGGAAGCCTTCCAGGCGAACCGGTCCGCGGGACGGGCTCTGGGGACCCCCCGCACCGGGGCCGGCGGTTCCGAGCCGCATCCACTGCAGCAACAACAGCAACAACAACGGCAGCTCCTGCGGGGACCCGACCCCCTCTACATCTTTGGGCGAAAGAACAACGACGGCGGGGACAGCGGGGACGCCTCGAACGACGAAAGCCCGCCGGGAAAGACCGGGAAGCGATCGATCCCCTTTTTCGGCCGGCTCAAAAACCGGGGCTCTTCCGGCGAGGCTTCGAGCGGGGCCAGCGGGGACAACCAACGAGGGGAGGACCTTCGGGCTTCCAACCCGGCCACCGCGACGGCCACCGCGACGGCCACCGCGGCCCGATCCACACCGCCGCCGGAAGCGGCCAGGCCCAGAAAGCCCAAGGAGCCCGTCACCCCGGAGGACCTCCGGCTCATGGCCGAAAAGGCCCGGCTGGAGGCCGAGAAACTCGACGCCGAGCTCACCCTTTCCAAGATCGAAAAGCTCGAGGCACAGCTCCTCCGGTCGAAGCAGCAGCAGCGGAACGGGGAAACCCCGCAAAAGGCGGTCGAGGACCTCCAGTACGAGCTGGACGTCCTGCAGGCCAAGGTGCGGGGAGAGCCGGTGCCGGTCAAGAAACCGGAGGCGTCGTCGTCGGCGTCGTCTTCGTCTTCGGCAGCACCGGCCACCACGGCGGCTTCCGCGGAAACGTCCACCGGACGCAGCGACCCCGGAGCAAGCCGGCCGAGCGGGGGGGCCTCGGTCCAGCTGCCCAAGGCAACGATCGAGACCGTCGTGTCCAGGGACCCCATCGTGGAGATCGACAACGCATCGGTCCTGGAAGCCGCCAAGAACATCGCGGCGCAGGCGGAGAACACCGTCTCCCGGAACTTTGAGAGCGAAGAGGACCTCGAGGGGGTCCCCGATTTCCTCCTCAACATCCTGGCCTCCTTTGTGGACATGAAGCCGGACCCAAAGATCGACCGGGCCGAGTTCTGGAGGCGGTGGGAATCCATCCTGGACCTCGACTACTCCTTCTACGAGAAAGACCCACCGGAATTCACCCCGGCCCAGATCCGCAAGAAAAAGGTCGAGATCCTCGAGTGGGGGGCCGGCAACAAGACCATCGAGGCGGTCGGCTGGTACGGGGGCACCACCGGGGAGGCAGACGACCTACCCCTGGTGGTCACCGAAACCATGGTCCAAAAGGCCGACGGAAACGCCACGCAGATCGCCGTATACTCGCTGGAATACGACTACTATTTCAGTGCCGGGGGAGACGCCATGAAGGCAACCATCGAGGAGATTGTCCCGGACATTCTCGGGGACGCCCTCAAGGACGGCTCGTACTTTGGACAGATGTACCCCAAGTGCGTCAACAACCGGGGGGAAAACAAGGGCGACGACTACGTTTCGGAAGAACCCACCACCGCCATGATGGATTCCCTCACGCAGGCCATCCTCCCGGCCGTCCGCTTCTCGGCCTCCGCCAAGCCCTACAAGGTACCCGGCGGCTACGCCATCACGGGGAGCCACAAGTACGAGAACGGAGACCTCCTCCTCGAGGCGATCGACCTCGAGATCCAGCGCTCGAGGCCGAGCCTCTCGGGACAGATCACGGTCCTCTACACGCCCAAGTACGGGCCCCTGGAGACCCCGGCCTCGGTCTCCGGAGAATCCCTCACCAGCATGGAAAGCCTCATGCAGGACAGCTCCCTCGACGTCTTTGCCGACAACGAACCCATCCTCTTTGTGGCCGGCCCCAACCTGACCAGGGAGGCGAACCCCATTGGCCTCGTCACGACCTCGATCCTGGGCCTCGCCACCTCCTGGTACCTCTCCGTCTACCCCTTTGTCCTCAACGACAAGATCGCCAGCCGGATCGACTCGGACCTCCAGCTCCTGGACGCCAATCTCCAGCCGGACCTCTCCTACCTCACGGACCTGTCGGTCCCCCTCTTTTACTGCTTCATGGGCCTCCAGCTCGTCCACGAGCTCGCCCACCGGCTGACGGCAATGTCCAGGGGCGTCGAGCTCTCGGTTCCCGTCTTTGTCCCCTCCTTCATCACCGGGATCACCAGCACGGTCACCACCTTCAAGAGCCTCCCCCGCAACAAGCAGGACATGTTCGACGTTGCGGCCTCGGGGCCCCTGGCCGGCATCGTCGCCTCCTCGATCGCCCTGGCCATCGGCGCGCAGCTGACCATCGTGGCCGACCCGGCCACCCTCCCGGCCCTCCCGCTGGAGATCCTCCGCCAGTCGACCCTGGGGGGGGCGATCATCGACGCGATCCTCCCGGGCTCCCTGTACGTTCCGGACGGGGCCCCCACYGGCGGGATCTTTGTCCCGCTCCACCCCTTTGCGCTGGCCGGATACGTGGGCCTCATCGTCAACGCCCTGGCGCTGCTGCCGATCGGGAGTGAGTCTACAATCTGCGTTTTCTTGCTGCCTTGTGTCGTGTCGTGTCGTGTCGTGTCGTCTTACATTACCTTGCATCGCTGCGGTCCCCTGACCACGCGTCTTGCCTTTTTGTCCCACTTTTTGTTCAGCCACGGACGGCGGGCGGCTGACCATGGCCCTCTTCGACCGGGCCGAGAAAATGTCGATCGGAACGCTGACGCTCATGGCGCTGCTGTGGGCCGGCCTGTTCGGATCGGACCTCTTTCTCTTTTATTTCTCCTTTTGCCTCGCCTTCCAGACCGGAAACGAGATTCCGGCGCGGAACGAGCAGGACCCCGTGGACTTTTCCCGCGTCATTGTGGCGGTCGTCTGCTACGGGCTGGCCATCCTCACCCTCGTGCCGGTGCAATAATGGCGACGATGGCGATGATGGCTAACAGGAAAGCAAGAGTAGGAGAACGTGGATGGAATCCAATGACAGGTCCGATACGGTTGTGCGTCACGTGAAGCTACGAAAGCAGAAAACTAGGATACGAAATAATATTATTATGTGTTGAATTGATGGATTGATCGATATCGTACGATGCACTCATGCACCAAACACGTGTTGACCGATAAGTGAAACATGGCACGAACAACAAACGATTACTGAATAAACTAAGCGCTATTTAGAAAGTACMACCGGTATGCACCTACAGTCTACAATATTGCGAAGGAGAAGATTGCGAGAGTTTCGTACGAAAATCAACCGGCCATACACAGAAGTGTTTGGTTATATTTAGAGTGGTTGCAGAGGACTGCGAAGCAWAACTCTGGCAGGCAAACAGTGGTGAAAACATAGTTTAGGCCTATTAAAAACGTCGATTATCTTGTCGGGATACACAATGACCATCGTGTTATTCTTCGAGAATCACTGGTTTGTTCTTGTCGGGAGAACGGGGCGAAAAAAGTGAAAGCGTGCAAACAGAGGCATTGGCATATTTTGCAATTGCGCGTGTTTCTGATTGTGACGAAGAAGTCACAATCTACAACGGTAGAAGCCGGCTTGCATCCAAAAAGTATAACTGGTGGTGACATTCCGAACAATACGCAGAGAATGCGGAGCTAGGTTGAACAAGACATGTGCGATCCAGGATCCCAAAACTTCCATCAGGGATGTTCCAGAAGGTTCAAAAGGGAAACTACGCGATTGCCATGAAATAGCACAGAATCGRAAAAACCAGTTTTTGGATTGTTTGGTGTGTCGGGAATGAATCAAAACATTTTTCTTTGACCGGGCCTGATGACGGATTTGAGCTTTCGAGAGAGAAACCAAATGGATTGGTGCCAACCAGAAGAAATGCATATCCCTTCAACAAAGCCACGATCAGAAATTATGAAGCAACATCGACCACAACCGATAAATAGCAGCGTTCGCAGCTTTGTAGCGAAAGAATAATAGTCTGTACAACCCGTAGTGTCTTCGGCGGGGCTATCACACTACAATGAAAACAAGGTCGGTATATAATAGTATACGTGTCAGTCGACATGCAACAACAATGGTGATTGTTTACTTTCCATGCGCTCTAAATTGTGGGTGCCATCGATTGATAGATCGAACGGTTGTCACCGGCCACAGGACAGAAGCGTGATGTCGAAATTTAACGGGGCCCCGGGGCCCGCTCCGATGTCCTTTCCCCCGTACCCCGCCTTGGGTGGGACGATAAGCTTTCGCCGGCCGCCCTCTCTCATCCCCAGTAGGCCAATGTCCCAGCCGCGGATGACCTCGCCCATTCCGAGCCGAAAGGTGAATTTCTTGGAGGAATCCAGGACGGCCCCGAATTTTCCACCCGTTAGCTCGTACTTCACCGTGATCGGGACTCCCTCCCTTGCAGCCTTGCCTGTTCCCACAGCGGTGTCCTTGTATTGCACACCGAGTCTCGTGGTGACCATCCCACCGTTCTCGGAAGAGGATCCTCCGTGAAAGACGGATCGAAAGGCGTTCATGTTGGCATCCCGTTCCTCCTTCGACTTCTTGTTCTTTTTGTTATTGTTGTTATCGTTATTGGAAGCGGCATCATTCGTTCCAGCGTTAGCAGTCTTTTGTTTCTTCTTCTTGGCGTTCTCTGCACCTCCCTTGGCGTTCAATTCTCGGTTCAGCTTCTTTCGCTTACGAAGTTTCTTTTCCTCCCGCAGCTGGTTCCGCATCGCCTTCTCCTGTTCCTTCCGGAGCTCGGCTCGCCGCTGCTTTTTGAGAGCAAGATACTCCTCCTTATCGAGGCGGTGGTGTCCTCCTTCTTTCTCGTTCTTCTCTGAATCCGCGTTCTCCTTTGCCTTCACCGCGGCTGCGGCTGCCGCTTTTTTGGCAGCCTTTCGTTCAAGGCGCAATTCCTTCTTGCTTTTCGCTACGCTGTTGGCATCGATCTCGGGATTGATCCTGGTGTGATCTTTCTCGTTTCTGGTGCTGCCTGTCATTGTAGGTCCATCTGCTATAATCCTTTTGGTTTCTTCTGCTTGGAAAGTCTTCTTCTCGACCGTCGTTTTCCAACGACAATGGTTCAGCCTTCAAATACGGGGGTTTTCTCAGAAAAAATATTGAAGACAGAATTGCTATTTCGCAGATGATAGTATCAATATGTACCTAATTCCTTCGTACTTGAACATTTGAGCACAGGTTTGTACGATTTGAAACTTAAAAAAATACTTCTAACACTAATGTGCGCTCAACAATTGATGGTGGTAGTTCGTACTATATTCTGTACGACAAAAAGATTTTCTAACGTACGATGACAGACGATAACGATAAATTCGCTAAACGTGCAAAATTGTGCACGACTGGCACAAGACACTTTTTACTTTTTTCATATTGTTTTCTACTTCTCGAATGACAAGTATAGCATTTCATTCTTCCAAATCGAATCAACTGTTCACTGCTCAATACATGCGGAGCATTTCTTGGGACAAAATTCTGCGACAGTCTTCTCCTCGCCATTTTTTCCGATTGCCACGTCCGTGCATTTGCTTCTCTTAATACTCTTGCATTTCTTGGTGTTTCCACCAGTCTTCAACTGGAACTCGTCCTTAGAGTTTTTACATGAACAGCGCAAATCACAGGCGGAAGGACAAAACTCCTCAGCCTTCGCTTTGGTCTCGGCATCTTTTTTGTCGCAACGCTTCCATGGTTTGCTGGAAACCCAAACGCAGTCCTTTGAGGGATCTCCGTTGAGCCTGAAAGTTGCACTGTCCCTTCCACACGGTTGTTGGCATTCCTCTTTGCACACAAGGGGGCAGAACTCCTTGACCCTCCGTTTGGTTATTCTGTCCTTCTTGTTGCACCTGCGTTGAGTTTTTTTTGCGGCAACCCATTTGCAGTTACGTTTCTTTTTTCCGTCCAGTCGGAAGGAATCATCGTTCACGCAATTCACTTCGGAGCCAGTAGGATTGCTAGTTGGTTCAAAACTAGAAGCTAGTGTTGGTTCGGAACTTGGCTTCGGGGATACACTCGGAGGTGCACTCGGTTCGGAGCTTGGTTCTTCGCTTGGTGGAAGAGCCACAATGACTCCTTGCAAACCTTGTGCCTCTAGCTGAGCAGCAAAGTCTCCCGTAACAACATCATTTTCGACACTGGCTGTTGCCGCAGAGGGACTCACCCCGGAAGCTACGGGGGCGGTAACGGTAGAAAAAACCTCAAAGCAGATCTTTCCCTCAAGACTTGTTTGTGCTTCAAAATTGCACGCCTGTGGAAATGCCTCAACAGCAAGATCAACACCGTCTGCAAGTATAATTACAGCTCCCAACTTGCGAATATTCGTAAGTTTCTGGTTGTAAACGCTGGAGACTGCTTGCTCTACTTGTTCAGCTGTCGTACCGTCTTCAACAGCCACATTTGTTACCGATGTTTTAGATGGTGTATCAGAAGGCATCGCTGACGGCAATGTTGACGGTAAATCGGTTGGATTGTTCGTTGGATTGTTCGTAGGAATACTCGTTGGGCTCTTAGTAGGATTCCTTGTTGGCTCGCCATTCGCAGGTGTTGGAGCAGCGGTTGAAATCTGTGTTGGAGGCTGGGTTGGAGGCTGGGTTGGAGGCTGGGTTGGAGGTTGAATTGGTGGAAGCGTTGGTTGAAGCGTTGGTGGAAGCGTTGGTGGCAAGGTTGGGGGCACGTTTGGGGGTAATGTTTCGGGCTGTGTTGGAGGCTGCGTTGGTGGCTGCGCGGGAGGCAGTGCTGGTGGCAACGTGAAGGGCAATGGCAGCAATGTGGGAGACAAAGTTGGAAGCAATGTTGGAGGCAATGTTGCCTGCGTGGTCGGAGGCAGTGTCGGTGGCAGCGTTGGTGGCACTATGGGAGGCAACGCTGGCTGCAAGGTTGGAGGCAATACTGGCTGCAACGTTGGAGGTGGCAATGGCTCTGGAAATGGTGGTGGCAAGTTTGGGGGCAAGTTTGGGGGCAAGCTTGGGGGCAAGCTTGGAGGCAAGCTTGGAGGCAAGCTTGGAGGCAAGCTTGGAGGCAAGCTTGGAGGCAAGCTTGG